CCGAAATCACGAATCGTGCCCCAATTCGAGCTTAATGAACTTTAGAACTTCAAACTTCTATGTTCGATGCCGAAACCTATCAAATCATGTCAGATTGACCTTAAATTTTGCACACAAGTCACGTTCGACATTACGGACCTACTCCAACTTTCGGAATCAGAATCCAACCCCGATATCAAAAAGTCCACTCCCGGTCAAACTTCTCAAAAACCTTCAAATTTCTAACTTTCGCCAAATGACCTACGGACCTCCAAATCTACATCCGGACGCGCTCCCAATACCAGAATTACCATCCGGAGTCCCAGACTCGGAATCTCAAACGGACATCGATTACATTGAAATGCACTTCAACCCAAATTTATGAAATTCTTCCAAAATGCCAACTTTCCACAATAGGCGCTGAAACGCTCCCGGGTCATCCAAAATCCGATCTGGACATATGCCCAAGTCCAAAATCATCATACGAACCTGTTGGAACCTTCAAATCCCGATTTCGAGGTCGTTTTACTAAAAAATCCAACCTTAGTCAATTCTTCCAACTTAAAATTTTCGAAATGAGAATTTTCTTTCCAAATCAGCTCCGAACTTCTCGAATTTCAATTTCGACCACGCGTACAAGTCATAATACCCAAGTGAAGCTGCTCATGGCCTCAAATGCAGAACAACGTGCTAGAGCTCAAAAGGACCTGTCGGGTCGTTACAACCATGTCATCAACCGGACACATCCATGTCACAGCATGTCACGTGTCAAAAAGAGGGAAAGGTAAGGGGTAATAATAGGTTTTATCGGGTGAATTTTCTTTACACATTTATTACAATCTGATTCTCCTAACTTACCAAAATTAATGAGAAATTTCATTCATTAAAAAGTTAAATATAAGAATAAAACTTCATCACTTAATCCCTTTCCTTCTCAATTTAGGGTTTTCAGTCATTCCAATACAGGTAGATAATTTGTCTCTTAAGGGCAAAACCGTCATCTTGCAATGCTGATGCCAGTAGTTTCCCACTAAAATTCTAATATTTTCTACTAAAAAATTATTATAGCAAGTAGAAACCAAATCCCTCAATGACAAAGGCCAATTCTTTTTCCACAAGAGGCGCTGCAGCACTAAATTAAACCATAAAAAAAATTGGAGAAAACATATTTAATGCTAAAGAACCACGAAAACTAAAAAGAAGTACAAAATTAGAAAATAGAATCGCATAAATTTAAAAATGAAAGCACTAAACTCAACTATCTGGGTTATTTGAAAATCCAAGAGCACTTCTCTACTTCAACTTCAAATGATTTTTTTCAACTTTGACTCAAATATTGTCCATTTTGTTTGCAATATTTGAGTCAAGGAAGGAATTGTCATTGCAATTGTAAAACAAAGTACTTTTGACTTTTTTTTGTTGTAAGTAAAATTTTATTTATAACCTCAAACAAAATATGTACAGCGTATAACTAAGCAAAATCGAATACTAGTGCTGGACATTAAGCCCCAATACTAGCATGCTCTACCAACTACCCTTCTCCTATACTTCTATTTTCTCTAGTCCTATCCTTGGCTAAGATAGAAGTTCAGCTCCTTTAATCTTGCTTGCATACTTGGCCTCAGACTTCCCCTGACTTGTACTTCCTGAACAATAGTTCTGGTGAGCATATCGGTAGTTCTTGTAAAATTCTGGAATATCCTCTGGTTCCTTTCTTGCCATACATAGTAGATGCAGCATGCTAGGGACATTCGAAATGTCTCTGCATTTATACTGTAGGCATGGTTGTTTGTCCACGTGAACTCTCTCCCAATAGTTTTCAGCTCTGTCACGCATGTGTCTTAAGAAAGTTATTGAAGTCTATAATCTCATTCTCGTGTACTGGATTTCCATTCATTCTATCATCAATACTAAGTATGGTATTGAAATCACCCATGATCAACCATGGCCCCTGCTGTGATGTATGTATTTCCTGCAGCTCAACCCACAATTCCCTTTTATCTTGTATCGTGTGGAGTCCATATACAGCGGTCATGTCAAATTCAAAGCCTCCAAACATGATTTTAATCCTTCCATGACTTTAACTAGGTTTGGATACCACAGTATCCATATTCTACCGCTACTTTTCCCCTAGTAATTTCCTATCCATTCCCACCCTGGTGCTACTTTATTGATTATAGTCTGAGCATATTTAGCATTAACTCTGTGCTCAGTTATTGCTAATAGACAAGCCTTATTTTCTACTCTAAACCTCTTAAGTTCCTTCTACCTGTAGACCTTATAATATTCAGGCCTCTTACATTCCAGGTGATCACTTTCATTTAGGTATAGTAGAGCTTAGTGTGCCCCCACCCATACTCTGACTACTCTATCCCCTCTCCAGATTGCTTGTGTGAGTGCTAGGTCCTTGGTAGCTCTCCAATGGTCCAAACACATTTGTAGATCCCAGTATCACAGTGCTTCTATATGGCCTCATTTGCTAGCAAATTTTCCTCTGGCTTGTTTCCATTCACTTTCTGCTGGCTGATTTTCAGCCAAAGGCTGCTGCATCTCTCCTGCTACTTGTTCTACTTCCTTAGGTTGATCTTTAGCAGTCTCCTGGACTCTGCATCTGCATCCAAACAGCTTTAGTCTCTGCATCCTCAGTTGCCTCTGCATCCAAACAGCTTTAGTCTGTTTAGGCTTCTGGACTCTCTCCTTAGGTTGATCTTTAGCAGTCTCCTGGTTATCCCCAACATGACAGGTATGGCCAAGTTGTAGACAGGTGTAGCAATATTGTGGCTTCCAATCAAATTCTAGTTGTTGAGTATACATTTTTCCACTTAGATCTCGCAGGTTAATGTTAGTAGGTAATTCCTTAGTAACATCTATTTCTACCAGTATTCTAGCATACTATCAATGCTTGTTGTATAGTCATCTGCAAATAGGGGACTGCCTTGGCCACTCCCAATTCCGCTTAAAGTCTCTCATTACTCCAGCAATTCAATGGCAAATTTGGGAGTTTCACCCATATGGGGATGGTTCGTAGTACCTCCTCCTTGAAATTGAAGTCGGGGTTCCATGTTTTAACAATGATTGGTCTACTATTAATCGTATTGGCCAGAGTACAACACTTCATCCTTGTCTTCCATACTTGTAAACTTAATAAGGAAATACCCATCATTGTGGAAGTATACCTTGGGTTTGGCAGCAAAATTCCAATTAGATGCTATGAATCTCTCAATAGCTCCAATTGAGGGAGATTCACCAACCACGTACAGTATTAGTGCTTGCTTCCATTTGATAGTCTCCTTCTCGAGCTCCTGTTGCTACAGCTCTATCACTGTTTCACCATCAACAACTACCGATGCCACATAGTTGAGTTTCATTCTCCTAGTTGCAAATTTGTTTCCAGAGAATAAGCTTGCCCAACTTTTCCCCTCAGTTTGAGCATGTTCCATATCCAATTTCCTATGTGCTCCAGGTCCCCCTTGCCCTTGAGGATTAGGGCTAGTAGTGCTAGTACTCTGTTGATTTGGGCACAGCACTTGATTTAGGGTTACCCAGTTCCTGGATTGCTTTCATCTTGTCCTCCGTTGTTATTGGCTTAGATGAACTAGGGTATCCATCTCTCCGATCAGTTATCAACATTTTCCCCCTTCATCACACTGGTATTTTGTGGCGTAATTGCATTGTTACTTGAGCCCACGGGAGCTCGTGCTGCTCCACTCATAGATAGTACTGGCCATAATTCCTATCACCGGCGTTCCACAGCTAGCAACCAATTTCATCTTTTCCGGCTTCGATCCCTTGTTACTGTTCTTGCTGGGCCAGCCCCTAGGCATTTTCCGGCAGGCGTAAGATAGCAATCACCTATCGTGCGCCTCTAGAGAAACCTAGAGAGAGAAAGTCCTTTGGCATTTTGGCTTCACTGGTGTTTGTGCCTGTGTCAGTGTCATGTTTAAAAAATAAAATTTCCTCATCTCAGGAGATATATGAAGGCATGGTTTTTCAGTAAGAATTATGGAGGAATGTATTTTTTGTTGGTGCTTTTCTTATGGAACTTGATACACTTGCTGAACATGGTGCTTGGATCCACTATTTCTAACACCATTAGTTAAATAACTAGATTAGCAATCAACAAGTGCAGCACATGATCAAATGAAATTGAAGACCAAAACATACAGACATCTTTATTGTTAATTGAAGATGCAAGGATGAAAGCAACATTACATGCTTGCCTTAATTTTGTACATTTTCTAGCAAAAAAATTGAATTGACCAAGAGTCTAGTACAAAGCACAGCCAGTTCTACGACGTTGACAAGAGAATCTTTGATCTCCCTCTGGACTTTTCGGATTAGTTTTGACGAGAGATAAAAAAAAGTAGGTATTGGTTCAGAGATCAAGTTCCCTCTTTTAGAGGCAGGAATGTCATTTTGATATGCTTGTACACTTGTTTCCGCTGCCTATGCAACTCGATTTCTTGTATGATCACCATCATTATACAATGTAACAGTAGATTTTAAGTTCAGTAAAATACTCCATCCACCTAGAAATATCCTTCCAGCAGAATACTCTCGCCTAAGGTCCTCGATGTTAAGTTCTTCAGCCTTCTGTTTTGCTGCATATGCTTAAAAGCCTCTTTACCACTTCCACCCAAAATTGGCAACACTTCCACAATAAACCCTCTTGCAGGATTTCCTCAAAATCTGAAAAGTTTCCCCTCAAGTCCAGCATCACACTATACATTCCTTGACGCTTGCAGTGTTCAAGGATAGCTGTTAAACTCATCCTACCTAAAACTACTGTCTCTATGCCTCTTTGACTTGCTTCAAGCTCCATAGTAATCTCCTTATCACTGAAGATTATAGTTTTAGATGATGTGTCATCTGTAACAGCAGGGAGTTAAAGTGAATCTGAACTCTTTGCTAATACAATCTGAAGAGGTTGTTTTGCTCCTGGTTCTTTAGATGAAAGAACAGAATAATTCTGCGACTGCAAGAAGGAAGAAACAATTACCGCATCATATTCTTGTAATAACTTTGAGTAGTATCCACCAGACTCCATGACTTATGCGCTCAGCTGATTTGAGAATTCACCATCGAATGAGAGAGAGTACCTGTTGATACGGATTAATTCGTTAATAGAGAAACTGATATAAGCACGCTGAATGATGTGGATATCAAGTTAGCAAGCTATGCACAGATGAAGAATAGGAACACGATGTAATAGAAATCCAAGTCATGTCAAAGTCACTCACAAATATGCTTTCTAAGCTGATACTTCTCCTAAATGCATTTCTTCAGGGTTGGTATTTCTACCACTAATCCTCGTTATATAGCATGCAGGTTCATACCTTCGCATGTATCTAATCAACTTTCTATATACAATCATATTAATTAGGTCTGAAATGAACGTTATAAAAAATCACCTGAAATGAAGCTAGCAATGTGAACACGACATTCCCTTTCTGAATCGCATCCACCCTCCGTGTAGCAAAGCTCTTTCCATCGCGTACACGATAAACTTGATATATGATTGGTACTACAATCATAAGTATGGGACTGGGTAAGATACAAGTTTTTAGACAACTGGATTTACATTGGCAAACGAAAAAGAGGTCTATATAGATACTTCTGATTGGGAGTAAGGACAGACTTTTTCGGGACGATGAGTGAAATATTACTGTTCAGATGCGGATTTGACACCTGACCGTGATGCATTAATGAAAGGAAGAGAATAAGAAGTTTTGGAATGCTTGGCTTAAAATAGATGAAAGATGACAAGTACGGTAGTCGGAAAAAGGCACGCCCACCGTAAAGAGGTGGTACCCCTGGAAAATAACTAGAATTAAGAGTGATGCTGCTAGAAGTCAAAATAGGAAACTTATGAGAAGAAGGAAATACTTTGTCCCGACAACGCCACCTTCCGCCAGGCCCAAGCTTTTTTTTTTTTTTTTTTGATGAAGTAAGATGTTATATTAACAAAAGCATCAAGAAGATGCATAGTTACAAAAGTTGAGGTGCAAAAATGAAAGAAAAACTAGTCCCTTTACAGTATGTCAATCTAAGACAAGGGAGCTAACAAAGTCCAAAAGATGACTTAATCCAACAAAAAAGATTGAGAGTAGGCATCTAGCTTTGAGAAAGTGATTTGGAGTTGAGATCCCATCAAAGCATCTACTATTCCTCTCATTCCACAAACACCAAAAAATAACTGCAGGGATCATCAACCAGATCTTCTTGATGGTCTTATCAACTCTCCATCGACTCCAGCTCAGGTGTGCCTGTTTTATGTTTTGTGGCATAACCCATTTGAGGCCAAATATACAAAAAAACATGTTCCAAAGGTCAGTGGCCACTGGGCAATGCAAAAACAGATGGCTGACTGTTTCCACATTCTCCCTGCACATATAACATCTATTGACCAACTGAAGGTCTCTCCTGTTGAGATTGTCTTGTGTCAAGCAAGCTTCATGGAGAACAATCCAGTCAAAGCAAATTACTTTAATAGGCAGCTTAGTTTTCCATATTAATTTCCATGGCCATGCATCGATCACTTGGTTTTGAGAACATAGCTACCTGTAACATTCTTTCACTGAGAAAGTGCCCTTACTCCCCCAACAAATGGTGTCTGGTGTACTTGCATTCATGTTGAACCTTTCCACTCTGGCAAGTAATTCTATCAAGTTGTCCACTTCCCAATCTTGCACTGCTCTTCTGAGATGAATATCCCAATTATTACCACTTCTGTTCTGAGCTATGGAGGAGTCTTTGTCCAATGCAATCTGGAACAGGCTAGGGTATTCATCCATGAGTGTAATGTTGTTGAGCCATTTGTCTTTCCAGAATCTGATATGTGCTCCATTGCCTGCTTTGAAGTAGGATTCCTGGAAAAATTCATTCCCAAGTTTCCTGATGTACTTCCAAGGGCCCACTCCATAAGGTGCATTAGAGATTTTGGTGCTCCA